GTGGTCCGATTTTTATGATTCTGCAAGTAATCAATTTACTATGCTCTCTGCACAGTCAAATCTCTCTGCTTGTGTTAATCTAAATTTACAGCTGCTTCCCACCCCTAGTATCACTGCCTCAGCTTTACTTCAGATTGCCAAGTATTAGCTTATCATAAGGAGCATTCATCCTAAATCGCTCACATTCGCAGTTCATAGTAGGGTTTATGTTCCTATACTAATCTAATGCCTCTTGATGATCTGATAGGAGGCAGAGCTCCAGCAATAATTTGAGCAATAGTTATACAGATGAAACTTTGCTCCCTTGCCCACTGCTCACTTCCTGCTCTGTGGCCCAGTTCCTAATAGAATACGGTCTGGTACTGGTCCATGGCCTCGGAGTTGGGAATTCTTGTTATACTCTGTGGGCACACCTATAAGAAACCCTCTCATCTACAGCCTTGAGAAAGGCACATTGAATGTGCCTTAGTACTCCATGGTTTATACCACTTTCTGATGCAGTTCTGGAAGTCCTCTTTCATGAGTGTCTTTGTTCTGCTGTCATGGCTGAATGGCTGGTAGTTGAATCAATTTGGAACTTTTACCACCTGTGGTCATTTTGACTTTGGGAAACAGCCAGTGGTCATCCAGTGCCAGAAGTGGTGATTGAGGTAGATGATGAAACATTGTAATGATTTTGTGAGCCTTTCTTTCATTTCAAAATGAGGCTGCATTTGTCATGTGTTTGATCACTCAGAACTGCCTCAGAAGTGGCAAGAACGATGGGCTGTATTCTAAGCAAGGGGCAGTATTTTGAGAGGGTTGATGGCCATATGCCTTTTATTGTAATAAATTTTTATAATTCAAACAATTCACTGTATATTATGATCGTACCACATGTATTAGATAGTATAGATGTAAGGAGAAAATGTAAAGCAGAAACAGTGGCGAGGAAATGATATGGGTAGAGAACGGGTGTTGAAAGTTTAGATACAGTGTTCAGAGCATCCAAATGTCTCTTGAGGAAGAGGCAATTTAGGAATGAACTGAAAGAAGTAAAGAAGCAAATGAAAATATCTACATAAAAAGTCTTTATAGCTTTTGTTTTTACCTGAAATTAATAACAAGGGTCCTGAAATAAGTGCGTAATTATAATGTATCAGAAATGATGAAGAGGCTAATGTGGTAGGTGGAGAAATCCAGGAGATGGGGTAAGGAAAGTGTGGCAGGGAACAGTTTTTATGTGTGTGTCAGGCATTCAGGTTGGAGATAATAGTTTAGTATCAATATATCCATGAATTTATACTTATGTGACTAGAGGACTCTACCAGGGAATGAAAATAGAGAAGAGATAAATGTTTATGGCTTGAACTCTGGGGTACTCTGACATTCAAAAGTTGGTGACCTGACATGTAATCAGCAAAGGAAACTAAGACTAAGTGTTCTTTCCTTTAAAATTGCCCAAATATGCCTTCTATTTTTGCCTTCACATTTCCTATTATTTACTGGTCTTAGAAATACATCTTTCTCTTTCTGGCTCTGTCTACAACTCTGTGTATGTGTATGCTCTGGAGCATGTACCCAGAGCCTTCTTCATGCTAAGCATGCACTCTACTCCTGAGCGCTCCGGTTTTTTAAACAATCTTTCTTCCTTTACCCAAATTGACTAAACCTTTTATATCTTTTGTGATTTAGCTCAGCTCTCACTTCCTCAGAGGTCTGCCAGGTATGGTTTGACTTCCCCTTATATGTGGTCCCAACTCTAGTATTACATAGCCTTCTCCACTCTTGGTCCTATTGTTGCACACAAACATTTGCTCTCTCCCTTTCTTATTTTCTGTATCGAAATTTGTTTTTGCGTCATTTCCAGTGATTACTATATGATCCTTGAGGTTCTGTGTCATATTCATTGTTCAGTGTTTAGCACAATGTTAATACTTGGCACTTATACCAAAAAAATACATACATACATATATATACATATATATATACACACATACATATATATATATATACACACACACATATATGTATGTGTGTGTGTGTGTGTGTGTGTGTGTGTGTGTGTATATATATATGATTTGAGAACCAATACAAATTAACTAGCTAGCCAAAATAGAGAAGAACTTCATACAGGCTCAACATTTGGTAATAGTGATTTAAATTGGAGTGTAGAACAGGTTTTGTGAAAGAGAATGTTGTATAGTTGACAGAGGAAATAAGAAATATGTCAGTAAGCCATAAATTACCAATATTTCTCTAGTAGCAGCAAGGAATTTCTAGGTACAGTGGCTTAATTAACTTCTGTCATCTTTATTAAAAAACTACCTGGCAGCAAGGTCCCAAGTTTGATCGCCAGTACCAAAAAAGAAAAAGAAAAAAAAAGGGTTACCTGGCAGACCTAAAATGTTTTACTAAGTAGGTAGGAGCAAGTACAGATGATTCATTATTTGGAATGTTTACTTGCATGAAAAAAAAATTTTTTTAATACCTGATTTCCTTTTCATTTCTTTTTTAAACAAATTCCAGGTATTGGAATGCCTTAGCTTTCACAGGGATGTGAATAAATGAGCAGTTTTAAGTCAAGATTTCCATGTTGGGCTTTAGCCTTCTTAAGAGTCACGGAATTATTAAGTTTCAGAGAAGCGTAACTGGTCAGTATGAGGGTAGAGACAGATTTAAAAGCCAGAATTTTTAAGGAATGTAAAAAGTGGAACCCAGAAAAGGAGTTAGTAGAAATAAGGTTTCTCTGTTTATAAGTATTAAATTAACACACGAGGCTTGAGTCACATTTTAAAATATTTTGTTGATTTTGCTTAATATTAAAACCATTTTTCCTGTGGTGTGACCATAGATATTTACAAAGTGAGACAAATATAAATTCTTTGTGTTCAGTGTAACACAGCTGAACTACACATCAAATGAGAAGTAACAATGAAAGTAGCAATCATATAAAGCTGTTCAAAAGAAAAAGCTCAGTTCTTTCATTCTGAATATTGTCCTCTCTAATATTAATATTTAAAGTATTTAAGATCCAACTAAAGTTCACTGTAGAATTATTATATTTGTGTTCTGTAAAATTAAGCTTTAAGCATATGTTTCTAATAATTCAGTTAAAATATGCTGAGTTGTATATTTTAAAGAGAATCTGTTTTGAAAAGATTCCAAAATATTTGTTTGAACAGGCCCTCAGCATCTTGATGAAAACGGTTGGAAAAGAAAAACTCTCAGAGTCATTCTGCTCCCAGAATGCCCAAGCCAACTAAACTGGTACAGTTAACACTTCTGTAAGAGGCCAGGAGCCAACAAATTTTGAACCTCCTGGACTGCTTTTCAGCAGGCCTTTAAACCAACTTAGTACTTAATATTAATACCATTGACATTTCAGAGCAAAAACTACAAGTAGAATACATCTCTAACAATATTGTGCATATTAAGTCTTTTTAGTAACCCATGATTAGCTTCTATCTGTGCCTTATATTGGCATTCTTCAATTTTGTGGGGTCCTTTTTATGCATAGTAAGAAGGGAAGTCCCTATAGAATATGACCCCAAGATAATTAAACTCTCTCCCAAGTAGCAATATTTTTATATTACTTTTGTAGTACCATTAAGTGTCATAGTAGAGGTGTAGATTAGATGCCCCATAATGGTTTGAGAGGATCGGTAGTTTTATTAAGCTACTAAATAGAGATTACTTATTCAGCCTCTTACTGATTTGTTTTCATTATATCCCCTTGCAATTTATTAATACCACTTAGTACATTGAGCAGTAATATGCTTGGTGTATATATGTCATGTTAATCTCTATATCCATATATTTATCATATGTGTTCACGTATTGAATTGATGTACCCACCATATTTAGATGCTGTGGTGAAAAGTAAAATAATAAAAGGTTAAAAGATTCTCTGTGTTAACTAGACAAGACTAACTTCTACATGCCATAGATTTCTCTCCAATACCATAGATTTAGTTAGAAAAATAGCAGAAATTAAACTTTCAGTCACTTGATTTTTCAAGTGCTTCCCACAAGATTAGAATAAAAATGATTATCATACCTTAATATATTCTAAGCTTCTTTCTCAACTTAAGTCTGAAAGGAGTTATGTGAAACCAGTGAAAAAGAGGCTTTTTTCATTATTTTGTTCTGTAGATAATGTGAAATGGCAAATTATATACACTTCGGGGCACAGTGCTCTTTATGACTTCAGTGGTCTGAGTATGAGCAGGGAATACCTTCTTCCCCTGAAACTTTGCCTGGTCTTTTTATTTTGGACAGTATATTAATGAAAGCTTGGAAAGCAAATTCTGCAGTTTCAAGAAGAAACTGAAGGAGTTGATGACTGAAAATGATGATTGAAAACCAGAACCTGTAGTTGATTAGGAACCATACTCATAAATAATAGGAAAATAATAGAGTATGCCACCAAGATGCAAGAAAAGTAGAAAAAAGGAAAATATCTCTAGTATCCTCGTGTTCTATTTGGTACTATTTGTGTAAGTCTTACAAGGAAAATGGTTGTGTTCCTTAGTCCTTAGAACATGAACTGAGAAATAAGAACTTTGTTTATCATAAGAAGTAACTTTGGCCTATAAAGAAGGAGAGACTCTTCAAAGAGGGACATTTTTGTCCATAATTTTATCTTATTTAGCACCAGAAGCTTTTAGAGAGACTAGTCGAAGCTGTTTCTAGGTTTCATTGTTGAAAACTGATAGGTTTCCAACTGTATTCTTTTTTGTATTTTTAATAATTGGTTTTTAAGCTTTTTGTATTGCCAAATTCCTTAAGATTTAAAAAGTGTATTTTAAGTAAAAGTATTATGAGACAGAAGTTTTATTCTGTGCGTAAGATAATACTTCTTTTGTGACATTTTTCTTTTCCCACCAAAAGTGAGAAGTGAATGCTGTGCCTTTGTGCATCCTATTTCTAATGGAGGACAAGAAGCTATTTTCTTCAATGGCTGACTTCCAGAATTTTTGCCTGAATGTTTTTTGTCAAGTATATATTCCCTTCTTTAGGCCTTTCTATATAGAACCCACAAACATCGTCAATGTGAATGATGTCATTCAGAGGGTTAGTGACCATGCTTCTGCCATGAACAAGAGGATTCATTACTACAGCCGGCTTTCTACTCCTGCAGACAAGGCACTGGTAAGAGGCAAAGCATTACTAATTTTCTAAAGTTAAGTTGAAAAGAACAGCAAACAACACAAACCAGGGCAACTCCCAGTGATTGACCTTTTTGCGGATAATATTTCAAGGATAACATCATGCAAAATCAAAGATGGCAGTTAATATATGTCCTACATTTTAGGCTAGTTCATTCTGTCTTTTTTTGAAACAGAGTCTCACTTTGTAGTTCAGGCTGGCCTTGAACTCTTGACAGTCCTCCTGCCTCATTCTCCCAAGAGCTGGAATTACAGGCATGCACCACCACACCTGGCCTAGTTCTTTCTTATTTAGCCTGACATAGAGAAATTTGAATGCTTTCTCTCTCGTCAAGAGCCTGCTTTTTTTTTTTTAATTAAATTCTGTTTATCCCTAATTCCAAGAATTTGAAGAAGATTAATTACTTTTGAATTGTTGGCTTAGATCATTGATTATATGATTCTGGTCTCTTTCCATTCAATTTTTAAGTTTGAAACTACAAAGGAGACAGGTTTTTAGAAATGTTCTATGGGAGTAAGAAAGTGAAATACATTTATACATATATTTAGTATTTTCCTATTCAGCCTTATCCTTTTATAGATTTAAAAAAGAGAGTCAAATGACCTGATACTACAGTTTTAGGCCTTGCAGACCACTTAATTTCACAAGTTCTTTGTTTTATAGCCATTAAAAACATAAAAAACATTTGTAGGGAAGAAGCTGTAAATAAACAAATTAAAGGGCTGATTTGACCTGTGGACCATAATTTGTAGACTCTTGACCTTTAAAATCTATATTATCATTTTAGAATAAAAAATATTTAAGTACTTCGGTTGCCTATAAAAATGATCATATATACAATATTCAGAAACTTGAATCTTAAAGAAAACCAGGTACATTCTAGGAGTAAAAATATGATTTTAAAAATAGATGTTAATAAGAAGAGAGAAAGGAACAAGCATTCATTAGATGCAAAACTGGGCATCACTTGAACATAGGTATCTCATTTAATCCTTAGCAATAGCTGTGTGAAATAAGCATTATTATATTTTGGTCTTCCATATAAGAGAAACTGCCCTATTTAAGCGTGTGTGTCTGATTTGTTTCACTTAACATTATGGTTTCAAGGTACATCCATTTTCCTACAGATGACTCAAGTTTAGTCTTCACAGCAGAGGAGTACTCCATTGTATATAAATACCACATTTTCTTTATCCATTATTCTGTTGATGGACATAAAGACAGCTTCCAAGATTTAGCTACTATGAAGTATACTGGTGTAAACATGGATATGCATGTATCGCTGTAATATGGTATCTTTAACTGTTTGGAGAAGATACCTAGAAGGGGAATACCGAATCAAATGGAATTTCTAGTGTTAGTTTTTTTAAGGAATCTCCATACTGCATAGTGGTTTACTAGTTTACATTCCTACCAACAATGTAGGAGTTCTTCTTCCTTCCATAGCCTTGCCAGCATTTGTTATTTGATTTCTTGATGATAGTCTTCTTTCTGGAGTAATAAAAATATCTATTATTTTAATTTGCATTTCTCTAATAACTAGAGATATTGAACATTTTTTTCATGTATTTAGTGACCATTTGTACTGCTGAGAAGTATGTATAAATTTCATTTGTCCATTTTTTTTTATTGAGTCTTTCATTGGCAAGGAGTCTAAATTTTCTGAGTTCTTTATATATTCTAGGTATTTGTCCTCTAGCCACAGAATAGCTCACAAAAATTGTTTTCCCACTGTGTAGGTCAGTGATGGCAAACCTTTTAGAGACAACTGCCCAAACTAACCTGAGACCCACTTATTTATTTCTAAGTGCCAACACTTCAGTTAAACTTGAATACTGAGGGTTTAGTTTAGAAAAACCAACTCATACATTAACGTCTTTTGTCTTAAAAGAAAAACAATGCACATGCCATACATTTCAACACCACTAGTACAAGTTGTCTCTGCTGGTTGTTTCCTTTGCTGTTCAGAAGCTTTTTAATTTGATATGATCCATTTATTGATTCTTGTTATGATTTCTTGTACAATGGGAGTTCTATTCAGAAAGTCCTTGACTACATCTATGTCTTGCAGAGCTTTGCCTCTTTTATCTTCCAGTAGGTAAAGTGTTTCTGTTTTAACATTTAGATATTTGATTCCTTTTGATTTTAGTTTAATATGTGGTAAAAGATAAAGGTCTAGACTTAATCTTTTATATTTTGTTTTATTTCATTTCATTTGTTTTTGAGATAGGGTCTCACTATGTAGCTCAGGCTGATTTTTAATTTACTGTGTAGTCCAGGTGGGCCTCAAACTTGCAGCAATCCTTGCTAGGATTACTGGCAAGAGCTACCACACCATTGGCTGGCTAGGTTGGATCTTTTGCATGTGAATAGTCAGTTTTCCTAGCACCATTTACTGAAGAAGCTAGCTTTCATCTAGTGTCTGTGTTTGGCCCCTTTGCCAAAGGTCAAATAGCTGAACATGCCTAGGGTTTTTTCTGCATCCTCTGTTCTGTTGATCCATGTGTTTGTTTTGTGCCAGTCCAGTACCCTGCTATTTTTATCACTGTAGCTTGGTAATACTACTTACAGCCCAAGATCATATGGCCTCTTGCTTAGCCCTTGGTTTTGTTCTTCTCATTCCCTTCTAGTTCCGTATGAATTTTAGGGTTGTTTTCTTTGAGAAGACTCATTGATAGTATTGTGATTGGGATTGCATTAAATCTGTATGTTAGTTTTGGAAGTATGACCATTTTGACAATATTACTTCTTATCTGGGAACAGCACACCTTTCCATTTTCTGATGTGTTCTTTGCTCTGCTTTTTCAGAGCACTTTAGTTTTCATTGTAGAGGTATTTCACTGCCTTGGTTGGGTTAATTCCTGTGTACTTAATTTTTCTTGATACTGTTGTGAATAGTATTATTTTCCTAACTTCTCAGTGAGATTTTATAACCAAATAATAAGAGGCTAACAATAGTAACTACACTGTGTACCTTTATCTTCAAAGTAGTTATTCAATACCAGACATAAACCAACAAATTCTTACAAAAAAGAAAAGGACAGGGCTAGGGATTTAGGTCAGTGGTGCCTGCCTCACAAGTGTAAGGTCCTGAGTTCGATCCCTGGTACCAAAAAATAAATATATAAAAAAAGAAAAGGACAATAGCACAAACATTCTTTTCAAGTAAATAAGATAAACTATTAGTATAAATGATAAAAATTAGCATATATATATTGAAATATTTTAAAAACAACAGAAAATGTAATTTAGGAAGTATCTTAACTTCTCCCTATTTCCTGTTTATCTGTCATCTATTTTGCTCTATTTGTATTGTGTGCTTCTCATGTAAGAAATTCCATGCGATACTTGAGGTTGTGTGTCTGACTTATTTCACTTAACATTATGTTCTCAAGTTTCAAGTGAGATCATTATAGGTACAAGAACACTATTAATTTTTGTGTGTTGATTTTTATAACCTGCTTCATTACAGAATTTGATTATTAGTTCTAGGAGTCTTTTGGTGGAATTTTTTGGATCTGCTATATAAAGGATCATGTCACCTATGAATGATAATTTCACTTCTTCCTTTCCTATACATATCCTATTTCTTTCTTTGCCTCATTGCTAGCAAATATCTGAGTACTATATTGAACAAGACTAAGGATAGTGGACATCCTTGCCTTTTCCTGATTTTTCTGGAAAAGCTTTCAATCCCCCCACCCCTTTAATATGATACTGGCAGTAAGTTTGTCATAAATGGCTTTTATCAGATGGAGATAAGGTCTTTCTATACCTATCTTCTTCAGGGTTTCTATGAGTAGATGTTGGATTTTTGTCAAAGGTTTTTCTGCATCTCTTGAGATAAATGTGTTATTTGTCCTTCCGTTTATGTAATGTATAATTTATTGATTTGCCAGTGTTGAACCCATCTTTGCATCCCTAATGATGAAGCCTATTTGGTCATGATGTGTGATCTTTTTTATTTGTTGTATTCTGTTTACTACTATAGCTTGCATAAATTTCTTCTATCTTTTTTGTTTATTGAGACAAGGTCTTGTTATGTATCCCAGCCTGGGCTTGAACTCACCATGTAGCCCAGTCTGGCCTCAAATTTGCAGTGATCCTCCTGCTTCAAGTGCTGGGATAACAGGTGTGCACAAATATGCCCAGTTTTCTATCTTTAAAATTATTGCTTTGACCTTTCCTTAAGCCAATTTAGTTCCCCTTTTTCTTCTGTTAACCAAAGCGTTTTAAAAACTAGTATATTTTAGGCCAGTAGTGGTAGTACATATCTATAATCCCAGCTACTCAGGAGGTTGAGGCAGGAGGAAGATCACAGTTCAAGGCCAGTCTGGGCAACTTAGTGAGATTCTGCCACAAAATAAAAATGACTGGGGATATAGCTCTGTCATAGAGTACCCCTGGGTTCCAATCCTAGTATAAAACAAAACAGACTATTTTTATTATTCCTTTCTTTGTTATCCATTGATTCCTCTGCTCTTTATAGTCTAAGGTACTTGCTTGTCTCTTTGGGGTTTTTTGTTTGTTTGTTTGTTTGTTACCAGGGATCGAATTCAGGACCTTATTGCAAAGCAGGCAGAGGAACCACTGGGCTAAATCCCTGGTGCTGCCTGTCACTTTGTTAAGACCACCCTGGCATTGGAGTTCAGTCACTGCTTGGTTTTTGAAATTCCCCTTACTTAAGGTCAGTCACCTCCATCTAGATTCATTTAACCTCACCTTTTGCTGGCTCTTTTTCTTCCTTTCACGAAGAGAAAACTATTTTGACAGTTGCATAAATTTTGCTTCTTAAGATCTACTACATTTGAAAAAGAAGTTTTAGTTCACTAATCAGGGATGCGTATAGTTTATGTGTTCATATTTAGAAATGTGTCTAGAATCAAGTACTATGATCTTTAGAAAATACCCTATTTTCTATTTTGCATATTTACTGGTTCTCATATTGCTGGGGTTTTTTTCCCCACTAGATTGCTCCAGACCATGTAGTTCCAGCTCCAGAAGAGTGCTACGTGTATAGTCCTTTGGGTTCTGCTTATAAACTTCAGAGTTGTACTGAAGGGTATGGCAAAAACACCAGTTTAGTGACCATGTGAGTAAAAGTACTTTGGGGAGCATTATATAAACTGTATATGAATGAAAACTACTATTTTACTTAAAATTTTTGAACAAACACCCTATTTTTACTGCTGTTATCCTCTTTTCAGTTTCATGATTTGGAATACCATGATGGGAACATCTATACTAAGTATTCCATGGGGCATAAAACAGGTAATATAATTTTTCAGCGTATTTTTCTTTTTCTTTTTTATTTATTTATTTATTTTTTCTTAGTACCAGGGATTGAACTTGGGACCTTGTGCTTACAAAGCAGGCAGTGGCACCACTGGGCTAAATTCAGCATATTTTTATTTGAAATTTTTTTCTTTATAAGTGTTATGATAAATCTATATAAAATGAAAGAAAAAAATGTATTTAGTCTTCCATTAATTGTCAGTTCTTAGCATGTTTACTTAGGGTAAAAATGTAATTGCATGTAGATTTAATCTTATATGATGATATATGTTGCTCTATATTTTTTAAATAGGCTGGATTTACTACTGGAATTTGTGTCATCACGCTAATGGGCCTTTTAACACTTTATTGCTGCTACAGGGTTGTGAAATCAAGGAGTATGATAGGTAAGAATTTGATATAGTAAAAATAGATTATTGATATAAGTATTAAGAACTTATTTCCCAGTGAGGAACATTGCAGTGTATGTATTCCACATGAGTGTCAACTGACTGCTTTGTACTAAAGATCTACTTTTCTCATTCATGGCTTTCGTCTGAACTGATCTATTAATGTATTAATGGCTGCCTTTCAAATTAAGAGAGGCTAGGAGTTCTTTGCAGAATGCATTCATTTTGGTGTTAGTTTCTTCACAAGAATAATTTAAAAACAACATTTTTAAAATAATGCCTTTGATTCTCCATGCGTCAGGAGTCCAGAAAAAAGCAGGGGTAGCAATCTTATTCTCAGATAAAGTAAATTTCAAACCAAAACTCATTAAGAGAGACAAAGAAGGACACTACATCCTTGTAAAGGGAACAATTCAAGAGGAAGAGCTGACAATCATAAACATATATGCACCAAATACAAATGCCCCCAACTATATAAAACAAATATTAAGTAACATGAAAAACCAAATAAGCACTAATACAATTGTAGTGGGGGATTTAAATACCCCACTATCACAAATTGACAGATCTACTAGGCAGAAAATCAACAATGAAATAATAGAACTGAACCAAGCTTTGGAACACATGGACTTAATAGATGTTTATAGAGTATTCCACCCCCAAAAACCAGAATATACATTCTTTTCGGCTGCACATGGATCATTCTCCAAAATAGACCACATACTGGCTCACAAAACAGGTCTAAATAAATGCAAAAAAATTGAAGTCATCCCCTGTTTATTATCAGATCATAGTGCAATCAAACTAGACATCAATAGCACAAGAAACTATAGAAACTTCACAAGCACATGGAAACTGAACAACACTCTCCTAAACAATCAATGGATTACAGAGGAAATTAAAGAAGAAATTAGACAGTTTTTACAAATAAATGAGAATGCCAATACAACATACAGGAATCTTTGGGACACAATGAAAGCAGTTCTACGTGGAAAATTCATAACATTGAATGCCCACACTAGGAAAACAGAGCGGGCTCAAATAAACAACTTAACGATGAAACTTAGACTCCTAGAAAAACAAGAGCAAGAAAAACCCAAAGCTCGAACAAGAGAGGAAATTATAAAGATCCGAGCAGAAATCAATGCAATTGAAATTAAGAAAACGATACAAAAAATAAATGAAACAAAGAGCTGGTTTTTTGAAAGAATAAATAAAATTGACAAACCCTTAGCTAATCTTATCAAAAAAAGGAAAGAAAAGGCTCAGATCCATGCAATTAGGAATGAAAAAGGCGAAGTCACAACAGATCCGAAAGAAATCCAGAGGATCATGAACACCTACTTTGAGAACCTGTACTCTAATAAAATGGAAAACACAGAAGAAATGGACAGATTTCTAGATACTTATGAATTACCAAAGTTGAACGAAGAAGATAAAAACATTTTAAACACCCCAATCACAATCAGTGAAATTGAAAATGTAATTAAAAACTTACCAACAAAGAAAAGCCCAGGCCCTGATGGATTCACTGCTGAATTTTACAAGACATTTAGAGAAGAACTACTACCATTACTCTTCAAACTTTTCAATGAAATTGAAAGAGAAGCTATACTTCCAAATTCATTCCTGGAAGCAAGTATCACTCTGATTCCCAAACCAGAGAAAGATACAACCAAAAAGGAGAACTACAGACCAATCTCCTTAATGAATATAGATGCAAAAATCCTTAATAAGATACTAGCAAACAGAATACAGAGGATTATTAAGAAGATCATCCATCATGACCAAGTCGGATTTATTCCAGAGATGCAAGGGTGGTTCAACATACGAAAGTCAGTGAATGTAATACATTATATTAACAAAGTCAAGGACAAAAACCATATGATCCTCTCAATAGATGCAGAAAAAGCATTTGATAAAATTCAACACCCATTCATGATAAAAACCCTGCAAAAAATTGGAATAGATGGTCTATACCTCAATTTAATAAAGGCTATTTATGAAAAACCATCAGCCAACATCATATTGAATGGCCAAAAACTGAAAACCTTCATGTTAAAATCAGGAACAAGACAAGGATGCCCACTATCGCCACTTCTCTTCAATATAGTTCTGGAAACATTAGCCACAGCAATTAGACAAGAGAAAGAAATTAAAGCAATAAAGATAGGAAAGGAAGAAGTTAAACTATCATTATTTGCTGATGATATGATACTCTACATTGAAGATCCAAAAAACTCCACCAAAAAACTTCTAGACTTAATTGACAGATTCAGTAAAGTATCTGGATACAAGGTGAATACCCAAAAATCAATAGCCTTTCTATACACAAATAACAGACAGACAGAAAGAGAAATAAGGGAAAAAATTCCTTTTACAATAGCATCCAAAAAAATGAAGTATCTAGGAATCAATCTAACAAAAGAAACAAAAGATCTCTACACTGAAAACTACAGCACTCTGAAAAAAGAAATCGAAGAGGATATAAAAAAATGGAAAGATATCCCCTGCTCCTGGGTAGGAAGAATCAACATAGTGAAAATGGCCATACTACCGAAACTGCTATATACATTCAATGCAATGCCAATTGAAATTCCAACACTATATTTCACAGAACTAGAAAAAAGAATCCAAAAATTCATTTGGAACCACAAGAGACCTAGAATAGCAAAAGCCATTATAGGCAACAGTCACATGGCACCAGGTGTAACAATTCCCAATTTGAAACTATACTACAAAGCCACTGTGATAAAATCAGCATGGTACTGGCAAAGAAATAGGCCTGAGGATCAATGGAACAGACTGGAAGACACAAAAACAAATGCAGATGTACTCAGCTACCTCATCTTCGACAAAGGAGCTCACCATCCTCAGTGGAGGAAAGATAGCCTCTTTAATAAATGGTGTTGGAAAAACTGGATATCAACCTGTCACAGATTAAAATTAGACCCTTATCTTTCGCCATGCACTAAATTAAAATCCAAATGGATTAAAGATCTAAATATTAAAACAGAAACATTAAACTTGCTGGAAAGTAAGTTAGGCAGAACTCTGGAAGACATTGGTATAGGAAAAGACTTTATGAACAAATCCTCAGTAGCACGGGAACTAGCAGAAAGAATCAACAACTGGGATCTCATCTTACTAAAAAGCTTCTGTACTTCAAAAGAAACCATTAGCAGAACTAAGAGACAATCTACAATGTGGGAAAAAATTTTTACCAGCTGTACCTCAGACAAAGGACTATTATCAAGGATATATAAAGAACTCAAAACAATCAGTCCCCCCAAATATAAAGACCCGATCCAAAAATGGGCATCCGAAATGAACAGACATTTCTCATACAAAGAAGTGAAAGCAGCAAGAAAATATATGAAAAAATGTTCCACATCACTGGTCATTCGAGAGATGCAGATGAAAACAACACTGAGATTCCACCTCACCCCACAAAGAATGGCTGCTATCAAGAAATCACACAATAACAAATGTTGGCGGGGTTGTGGGGAGAAAGGAACCCTCCTCCATTGTTGGTGGGAGTGCAGACTAGTGCAACCACTATGGAAATCAATATGGAGATACCTCAAAGAGCTTGGACTGGAGGTTCCATTTGACCCAGCCATCCCTCTGTTGGGTATCTTTCCAAGAGAACTAAAAGAATCATATCACAGAGAAGTATGTGCACCCATGTTTATAGCGGCACAGTTTGTAATAGCTAAATCTTGGAAACAACCTATTTGCCCATCCGTTGGAAACTGGATAAAGAAGATGTGGTTTTTCTATAAAATGGAATATTACTCAGCCATAAAGAGCGAGAGAATAGATTCATTCATAGGAAAATGGATACATATTGAAGATATACTCCTAAGTGAAATAAATAAGTCCCACATGTGTAAATACCAAATAGTTTCCCTGGTGTGAATATTCTGCAACAATGCATAAGATTCTAATAAGATTACTGACATTTAGAAATGGGAGGAAAGGAGCTAAAGGTGTAGGGAAGGTGTGATACGTAGGGGAAGAACAAAAAGGGAAAAGAAAAAAATGTGAGAGAATGAAAAGATGAAAATAAAGTGTTTGTAGATGGGGAGGGGAGGAGGGGGTGAAGGGAGGGCAGAGGTAAGGGGAAAAAAATGAGAATCAAGACTTGCCATGTAAAGGTACATGATCCCAACAATGAATGTAACTGTACTGTATCCCTAAATGTACCAATAAACTCAATAAAAAAAAATAAAAATAAAAAAAATAAATAAAATAATGCCTTTGATAAAATTATATAAGAATTCTGAGATTTTTATCAGTTATTGGTGATTTGTATTGACCTATGCTTACTAAAAGACCTAAATGTTAGAATCTCTTAAAATCAGAAATTATACTACAAAATATGAAAAGTTTTATGAATACACTTTTCCTCATTTTTAAAAAAAATAAATAAAATAATGCCTTTGATACAATTAAATAAGAATTCTGAGATTTTTATCAGTTATTGGTGATTTGTATTGACCTATGCTTACTAAAAGACCTAAATGTTAGAATCTCTTAAAATCAGAAATTATACTACAAAATATGAAAAGTTTTATGAATACACTTCTTTCCTCATTTATAAAAAATTCCAAGTTGGGGAAACTTCCTTTCTCCCTCCCTGCCTCTCTTCCTTTATCCCCAGGATCTCACTGTGTTGCTGAGGAGTCTGATCTTGAATTTATAAGCTCAAACTGGGATTAGAGGTGCACCACCATGCATGGCTGTTGGATTAGCAAAACATCTTTTTAAGCTGTTTTAAAGTGGTTTAGGGTATAAATAGACATGTGTGATTTTGTTCACTCTTAGCATGTATAAACTCACAGACCAGGCTTTAGCTCTAGTATTTTTCTGTCTCTACTAAGAAGCTTCTTCCTTTACATTAATCAAAACTACTTTTAGTCACTTGGGGGATATTGTTTAAAAGTCTTAGGAGAAGATTCATTCTAGTTCCCAGTAAGGAGTTCATTTATCCT